CGAGTCATTACGTCACATCTGTAGACATAAAGAAGGAGTCTTGGCTTGTAGACTAGTTGCGTGTGAGGATGCTGGAGGTGGAGATTTATAGCCTTTTCTCACAGCACTTGATATAAACTTATCAATTTGAATGGTGGATCCAGAAAGGTTCAACTGACAATCACCAATGACAACTAGAGATTCACTCGCTGTGAAATGTAAAAGAGTGGCTAGAGAAAAAGCAAATGGCCCATGCGAAAACAATGATAAATATCAGAAGGACATTACATATAGTCACGCAATGCTGATGTTGTTAACATTAACAATTTGAGAAAAAAGTATAATTTGGACGGTTTTGCGTGATAAGCGATTTTTAGACCAGAACAAAAGTGGATGTTACATTTTAAGATGACATTTACTGGTGAAAATTAGGCGGGCACATCAATATTCTTAATGTTCCGAAATGTAATCGGATGATACGGGTTTACCTTGCACAAAAGGACACCGACACGGGTTTACCTTGCACAAAAGGACACCAGAAAGTGATTTGAGAAGGATAGATCAGAAACATTACAATTAAAAGGTGTTACACCAGAGCAGCAAATTTGATCAAGAGTATGCCCCTTAGTAAGAGTGGGCAGTGTGTTAAATTGTTGTATACCAAAGCAATCCAAACATGATAAAATTTCACTTGTAAATGCATTACTGACATTATATATATGAATGTTAAAATCACCCAAAATTATAACATTTGGAGATATGGAACATAGATAAGTCAAGAGTTTGAAAGTTAAAACTGCATTATTGCCCCTCTTTAAGGCAATTGATTCAAAAGAAGAATATGTAGACAAAGTTAACCGAGATACTTTCAACTTCTCTTTATGAAGTATCACTATCCCCCCTGTATCACAAGATTTACAAACTTAACTATATCCTGGGTGAACAGACTGGTTTAGATGAAAAAAAGTCAGTATTCCTTCAGTATCATTCAGTTGTAAGACCCACTAATCGATCCAAAGGTGGCGTTCGATTAGAGAAGGTTTCACGCGTGTTCCGACTTTCCCATGGCAAAGGGACTTTTAATTAAATGCAATACATTTTATCTTATGTATTAACTCGTTTTATCTGACTCCATAAAATGAAAAAGGTTTATCAATGATATCTGTGCATCATTAAATACATGTTAATGTTTGACTATTTCAGCTGTAATGAAAATAAAGTCAAAGTCTGTTAGAATAATCAAATATAACAATTTATTATGTCAGGTAAATGTATTATTATATTATAATTCCATTATCAATTTAAAGATAATCAATACAAACCATCAAAGTTCTAGAACAAAGAAGAACATATTTTACCTGACATTGTGGCTACGTGAGGAGAGTTGCGATACCCTCCCTCACGGGCTAATCTGAATACAGACAAGAGCCCTGAACACTCGTTACATTTCTTTATATAGTCAGAACCATTTGCTTAGTTGTAATTTGCATTCAGATAAAAGACCAGAAGGTGTTAACTCGAAGACACACCCTTCTGTGTGCAAGATATTTCTATATTCTTAAGAACTTTTACCTTTTGATTTACTTCTTTGGGAATGAGACAATGCCCTTCGTTCTCACAAACCAGTGATCTCTCAACCAGTTTCCAGATCTTTCAGTCTTAGGCTACGTTCACTCTGCAGGGCTTAATGCTCAATTCCGATTTTTTGAAAAAATAAGATTTTTTTGCAAGGCTGTTCAAATTTCCAATTAAATGTGACCTTTTGTGATCTCCTGTGTGAACGTGAAATGACCCAGAAGTGACCCGCATGCGCAGAAGAGTAATCAACGGTCAACGACGTCACTTGTTGTTTGCGGAATAGTTTTGTTTCCATGTTGCGAGCTTGTGTTTTATTATTATTATTATTGCCACAGCCCATATACAAACACAGACGACAATTATTTTATCGACGGGCAAAGTTTGCACATAAATGTAAGATTTTTCCGATCCTCACCGACCTCGTCATAAAACCCGTTTAATTGATAGTGCGCGTCCTCGGCGCTCCTTGCTTTGTCACCGGCGGGCGCGGTGCGACACTGGTGGCTGGTGTTGCCAGATTGGGTGTTTTTTCGCTACATTTTAAGGCATGCTTACATGTTTTCGCCTGGAAGGCTCTATAGAAATCTGGCACCCTACTGTACGAAGTTAAACTGACAGAGAGCGCACGTTCACAGACACCAGAATGAACGTGTTCACAGTAATGTTCATCAGGCAGTAATACAGTATATAAACGCGTTCATGCACTATCGTTCATTGAACGCGTTCAGGCACAACACTGGGGAAGAGACACGTCTGCAGCGGCCCATAACAGTACAGAAACGCATTGGAGTTAGCGTGTATTGGCTAGCTACAGGTGCATGCAATGACGTGCGGGTCGGATATATGTGACCTGGCCGTTCAGATTGAAGTCGCATTTCAAAAGATCGGATACATATCGGATTTGGACCACATACCCAAGTGGCCTGGGTCGCATTTGAATAGATCGGATCTGTGTCGTTCAGACTGTCATGAAAAAATCAGATACAGGTCGCATAGGGGCAAAAAAATCGGAATTAGGTCGTTTCAGCCTGCAGTGTGAACGTAGCCTTACACAGTATTCCTTAAATAAATAAATTCCTTGCTGCTGACCTGCGGTGATCCAATTCAACCAAACAAATAAGCAAAGATGACTTTAGTTAAACATCACATTTGTGTGTGTATGTGTGTTTATTGTTTAAGTGTGAGTGTTGAACTTTCTTCTACTGTGTCAACTTCGTCAAGTGGACAATTGGCTTTATGCCCAGCTGCACTACTTCCTGAACTTCAGCCAGCTCCTTGTTTCCTGTCTGGCATTATTGGCCAAATCGATTAATTCAGGTGTGTCTGATTATTGTTGCCATGACTACTGAGGTCAGGTACACCTGAATTAATCAATTTGGCCAATAATGGCAAGACAGGAAACAAGGAGCTGGCTGAAGTTCAGGAAGTAGTGCAGCTGGGCATAAAGCCCATTGAAGTTTATATGGACAGACCCTCGACCCCTCGAATTTTGGCCGAGGGTCTACTCGATATGTACACTTCACTTCAGGCAGATCCATAGACCACAATGGAACACGATTGTGACATCACAGCAGGTCTCTCTTAATGTACCCCCACCCCACACAACTTTAGTGTATGATATTGGAGTTATTTTGACATTTAACTGCATTTAATACTTGTAGCCACCTACTAGGGGTGTAGTGGTTGTTGGTAAAAGAAAAAAATCAAAACGTACGGTTCTCCACTCACGGTTTGGCACGCACTTGCACCGCGGTTCATCTTAAATCTGACGACGCATCTATAACATGGTTTAAAATATCAACACGTAAAACAGACAGGCAGAGTTAGGCCAATGTACAGTATGTTTCTGTCGATGGATATGCATTCTGGCTTCCCAACACGTTACAACAGCGCTGATCAAAAAACTAGTGCTGTATGCTCGAACATGACCAGTCATTTACACCGTCATCACCCGGGTGTTGAGAACGCGCAAAGCGCAGGTGAGACCTGAACAGCACATGTTGCTAACTGTGTTTTAACTAAACTCATTTAAGCCTTGCCAATTTAAACATTCAAGAACAAGATGTGAAAGGGAGCCACGTCTCAGACAAGACGCAAATATTGAGTTCTCTTTCAAGTATTGCGCTTGAACAAACAATTTCACACAAAAATTATGTCAACATGCCCTTGCATAGTATCCTAGAAAACATAGTAGGTTATGTCTTAAGTGAACATAAACAGTCGATAGACAATAGGTGGAGCGACTATTATCATAGACACCTTTAGTCTGGTCTTTTATCAATCATATGCAATTTGTTTAACCTGGTTTTAACAAAGACAGAATTGACATTAACCAAGAAATCATAACTAGTCCAACGTGTTCCACTTTACTTGAGGTAAGGGGAAATATTAATGACACTGTTGTTAAAGCATTTGACAGTGTAATAACCCTTAATGACACCTTTATAACTAGTACAATGTGTTCCACTTTACTTGAGGACAAGTAAAATATTTATGTCACAGATATAATGGTGTCATGACAACCAAAGTTAAAACCAACCATAACATATAACAGGGTAATGTAATGTTAACACAAAGCTAAATAACTTCTTAATTAGACCTGTTATGACATATTTGTGACTGGTTGACCGGTTATGACTTCTTGGTATATTTATAAGATATTTTTGTCTTTGTTAATGTCAAGTTGTCATGACAAAGACATTTTAAACAATGTCAACTTTGCATTAAAAGTGTCATAATTTACCGAATGACACTTAATGGCAGCAGTCATAAACATTCATAAAGACTCCTTCATGTTCATGACAGGTGTTATGTTATGTTTATGACAGTGTCATGTCAGTCTTATGCACACCCCTTCAAATAAAGTGTTACCCATTAGGATACATTAAGTAAAGTGAATTTAGGCACATTTGAACTATAAGAAAATTGGATATTGGAAAATTAAAATATACAATTTAAATATCCAGAATCAACTGATAAAAAAATATATATATAATATTATGTGTTGACTAAAATGCCACTAATATGTTGTGCATCCCTTTTTTGAGACCTAAACAAATAGTATGTTTTCACAAAATATATTTCAATGTTTTTTCACATCTACTCGCTTATAATTTCAAATTTTATATTTTATTCACAATGGCATTTTTAACCAAACATCTGTGCTTTGGCATGATGCTTCCTCCATGCTGATAAGTGTCAGTATGAAGCCCAAGAACACTGTTATATCGAACGGTGAAACAACAGAGCTCACCTTTGAAAATGTACAAATGATTACTGAAATGCTCTTTTAATCATGAACAAAGGTGGGGCGACTATTATCATAGACACCTTTAGTCTGGTCTTTTATCAATGCTATGCAATTTGTTTAACCTGGTATTTTTAAATGAACCCTTTACAGTGATATTACCATAGTGTGTGTCTTTCTTTGTGGCACCTTTAAGGAATCCTCCGTGAAGATGGCAGCCTGGATAATGCCGCAACCTGTTTGAGGTTGGCTGAAGTAGCTCTGGCTTATGCTCTAGCAGGTTAGTCCTAAATTATATTCATTTATAGTCAATTGCACATAATCTTTCCATTTTTCAATAATACACTGAACAAAATTATAAAGCAACACTTTTCACTCACAGGTGTGGAATATCTAGATGCTGATTAGACAGCATGATTATTGCAGTGGTGTGCTTTAGGCAGTGTTGTAGTCGAGACCACCTCACTCGAGTCCGAGTCGACACCGAGACCAGAGAGAGTTGAGTCCGAGACCAGAGACGGTTGAGTCCGAGTCGAGACCGAGACCAGTGAGGGTTGATTACCTAATTTACTTTTATTTACTTAGAGAAATCCTTTTTTTTTATTACTGAATTTACTTAGAGTTTAAAAAATATGATCAGTTTAGGGTAAAAAGGCCACATTGTAGGTGGTGTTAAAAGTAATTTTATTACAATTTGTCATGCGCAGTTGCGCACTAGAAAATCACCAATCACTGGGCGTGTCAATCAATTTAAAGAAATATTTTATTAGCATACATTAATAATCATGAAAAATATTTTTAATTGAACTCGAGTGGACTCGGGAATAATTCCGAGTCCTAAAAAAAAAAATGTTCGAGTACGAGTCAATTCCGAGTCCAAATGGACACGAGTCCATGACAAGACCAAGACCATTAAAATATGGTCTCGAGACCGAGTCCGAGACGAGTCCGAGTCTCGAGTACTACAACACTGGCTTTAGGCCCCATCCACACTACTGCATTTTATTTTAGAAATGGAGAATTAAAACAAATACGATCTCTGTCCACACCCGCATTTTAGCTGCGTATTAGAATTGATCTCCATCCACATTAAAACAACAGAAAATGCGGATCACGTGACCATTCACCTACACTGGGCATGCGTGTGCCGGATGGGTAGCATGAATCGTCAGAACACTGGTATAAACATGAAACCGATGGACTATTCTTCAGATTTGATGAAGAAGAAAGTAGCTACTTAGCTACTTTATTCTTCATCAAATCTGAGGAATTACCTCTGCAAAGAGTGACGCTCCATGTATGGTCGATACCGCCGCTGCACACGGTCACAGATCGCTTGAATAGTAGCTTGCCTCCCGTGCATGCAGGCAGTTATTGCATTGTAAAATGCAGGATTTACTTGCACAACAGCTGCTAGCAAAAACATCAACGTCAGTAACACTTGTAATTCGTTATCCATGTTGCAGTCACTAACATAACTGGTAGTCCAGGCTGTTGTTGTATGTTTTCTTCCGGGGACGGGTCATGTGATGGGTGGCTGACAAATCAGGGAAGGATACGCCATGACCAGTGTTGTGCAAGTTACTTCCAAACTGTAATACATTAGGTATTACTTGTTACTATTATTTAAAAGTAAATCATTACCGTACAATATTACTGTCTCAGAATTGTAATGCATTACATTACTCATGTATTACTTTTGAGTTACTTTCACCAAAATAACTAAGTAGAACTTAACTTTGGGGCTGTAACGATATGCAATATGAAACCGAAATCGCGATTCGCCACACGACTCAGATCCACGAACCTACAGAATCGCAACACACCTCTTCCAACTCCAGCGTTATTCTCCTTACCGTCCAGATCCAATGCTGCCTTATCTTTAAATTAGGCTATTAGTATTATTTGAAGTTAACATTATAAAATACGTAGACCTACACCACAAAACTAGTTGAGGATAAATTATTTAAAATTGGGGAAGTCCAGCATTATGGACATGACATTTGCAGTCAAAACTTGAAATAAAAATTCTCAGAAAATACATGTATTGAAACGTATATAGGCTACTTCCTTAAAGGACTCCAGACATTAGACAAATATCAGTCTATTTTTTATTTTTAATATTAGGGAAAAGACACACATTCATGAAAAAAAAAAATAGGAGGCAAAATATATATTTTTGTAATTCTGTTAATTACATGGCGCAAATCGGATGAAGAAGGGTTGGCTCTGCAGTCTCCATAGAACTTAAAATATTCATTTTATTTTAGTTTTCGTGTTCGCATTTATGAGGAAAAAACAATGTTACAGACGCGACCGCTCTGAACTGGCACTAAAAGACTGCTTTAAAACTTTCACATAGTCTGTTGCCTTTAAGAAGTAAAAGCAGACAATACACTGTAATACAACTGTAATACAAGCCTCACTGAACATGTAACGAGTAAAATATTACTGAAAATTGATTAGTAATGCCTTACACTACTGCGTTACAGCAAAAAGTAATATGTTACTGTAATGTATTACTTTTGTAATGCGTTACTCCCAACACTGGCCATGACTGATGACACCCAATCAGAGAGCCGAGCGTGAGATTCTGCGTCATCGTTTCTGAAGTCCTCCGTTTTGACGCGTCTTCACTAAAACACCCTCCAGAGATTCAAAACGCAAAATGGGGTCGGCAGCGTTTCTAAACTTCTCCGTTTTAGGTCTTCGTTTTTATCGTTTTAGTCTGGACAGCAGGTGCAAACGTGGCAAAAGGTCTCCGTTTCTAAACTAAAACGCAGTAGTGTGGATGGGGCCTTAGGCTGGCCACGATAAAAGGCCCACTCTAAAATGTGCAATTTTACTGTGTTTGGGGGTCGGCGTATACGACCAGGTCCTCCAGTCCAGCAACTTTGCACAGCCATTGAAGAGGTGTGGACCAACATTCCACAGGCCACAATCAAAACCCCTTTTTTTTATTGTGGCCAGCCTAAAGGCCATTGCACACTGAGTCCGAAATTCGCATCCGAAATTTTCGCACGTAAAAAAAAAAATTTGACCTCACGTTATGTCAGTCACGCTTGCACACCGCCTCCGAAACTTTCGTCCGTCATAAAATTAATCGGATCGGGTTCGATTTTCTGCGTTTTTCGCATCCAGAGCCAGCATTTTGAGAGGTCTTTTGACAATTCAGGGCCGGGGGAGCTCGTCCTCAAATCATTGAACATATGCGCCGTGCTTTCAGTTTCGGTTTTCAATTCGATCAAGTGTTTATGTTCTCTTCTCTATATTGGATTATGAAGTTAATAAACCTCCCCTTTCAATCAGATTGAAATTTAGGATCGAATAAGGTGTGATTGAGCAGCCTATTCGATAACTAATGTATTATTTGGGCACAATATACACAATAGCTGTTCTGTCTGCCCAGCGCTTCCAATGGGCCGTGCGCGGGTGTGTGTTTAATGTGTTGCCATCCATACCAGACACACTGTCAGGCTCCGTTCAGAATCGATTGGTTCACGGAAATTGGTGGTCTTGTTTTTAATATGTGGCTCCAGAATCGCTAGCAAAGCATCGAACTGTCCCACTCACATTCTGAGGTAAATTTTGAATCGCTCAGGATAAATTCGCAACTCCTTGATAAGGTGGAACTCTCCTTCCTCTCGGCGCAATTTCAGGATTGGATGGACGTAATATTTTCTCTTTCTTCTCTTTTCAATAAGAGAGAGGGCAAAAATCATCCTCACTGCTTGACGAATCCATTTGGTATTTTTGCGTTTTTTCCCGCAAAGGTTTAATAAATACGCAGCGGACTCTGTGTGCAAGGTTTCTATGCGTGACGAATTTTTAGGCTGACGAACACGAAAATCCGCATACGAATATTTCGTACTCAGTGTGCAATGGCCTTAAGGCACACCTGTGCAATAATCATGCTGTCTAATCAGCATCTTGACATGCCACACCTGTGAGGTGGATGGATTATCTCGGCAAAGGAGAAGTGCTCACTTACACAAATTTAGACAGATTTGTGAACAATATTTGAGAGAAATAGGCTTGTTGTGTACATAGAAGTACATAAAAGTCTTAGATCTTTGAGTTCAGCTCATGAAAAATGGGGGCAAAAACAAAAGTGTTGCATTTATAAATTTGTTCAATGTAGGTCTATAGAAGTCATCATCATTACATTAGGTCACACTTTTTCTCTCTTTAGGCTGCCACATCATCGCCCCTTCTGATATGATGGATGGACGAATTGCAGCCATTAAGCAAGCACTAATCAGTAATGATCTTGGCAACAAGGTAGACAAATCTTGCTTTTGGGTCACACAAAATAGTTAAATAGAATATTGCAGATTCTGACTCTAGCTCTTTCCCCTTTCTTAGGTGTCAGTGCTGAGCTACAGTGCTAAATTTGCCTCCTGCTACTATGGACCATTCAGGTATTATATATTCCCTTTATCAACTTCCTTCATAGTTTGTATACAGTACAGTATATTCTTATAAGTGAGAACAACAGGATGGGTTTATTTTTTGTAAACCAAAATACAATTTTCCTTAACATTTGAAGGGATGCTGCCCAGTCTAAACCTGCTTTTGGAGACAGACGATGCTATCAGCTTCCCCCTGGTGCCAGAGGACTAGCACTGCGGGCCTGTGTAAGAGAACTTCACTTTTTTAAAGACCCCATGTAATCACCTGATGAGCACAATTTTCTTTCCTGTGTTTACATGTTTTATGACAGGAATTTATTGAAAGGGCACTTTTAACATGGAATCTGAACTACTAAAACAGGACTGATATAACAAGACCCTAAATCAATTTTTAATTACAGAAATGGTCACATTGACTAGACCTGTGTTTTTTTTTTTTCTTCTATTGTATGGGATGCAGCAAGTGAAGTAAAAGTATAAGGAAACTACTTTTTTTGCTGGTAGGACCGGGATGTGAAAGAAGGTGCTGACATGCTGATGGTGAAACCTGGATTACCATACCTTGATATTGTGAGAGAGGTCAAGAATAAGGTAATAACTGTAGAGTCAGTGTTATTATATTTCTGAATTGTGAGTCCTTGTTTTCTGACACCTCGTGTTACATCTCAGCTTACATTGTAGCAATTTAGTCCCCAAAATGTATTTGAAGACTTAAAGGTGCCATCTGGAACTAAAAATCAAAAAATATTCCATAACAGATGGGGGCAGTATACCTCCAGAAAATGTGTTGTGCCGCGGCCGCGCGCACTCTCACGTCTTCAAACAACACGAGCGAGCGCTGTTTTGCTCTCTCTTTCTCGCACATATTATTCAAATTATTTGACACGATAGTAAAAGGTCGGAAGACCGCAGTTTCACGTGGAGCATTTGGACATTTTTAGAGATCAGAGACTCAATGAACAACATCTCGACACTAAATGATGAAGACCATCTCATAGACGCCTGTCTCAAAAACAAGCTGGTGCATTTCGACAATATGGGAAAATAAAAGCCTGCGAGCTATTATTTTAAGTTTACGGTATTTGTTTTGTTTATATTACACTTTTATTGTTAGTTTGAATTAATTTGACAGACCGCATTCGCTGATGTTGATCAAGCTAGCGCCATTCAGAGCTGCCAACTCTCATGAATTCACCGTGAGACACATGCAATTAACACTTAGCAAGCAGGTTAGTTAAGCTCTCAGATTCTGTCAATTTTATTACGCAATTCAAACAATAAATACCGTTTTGGCGCTTGTCCATGTTACACCACAGATCCCTAGCGCACATGAACCGATCATCTCTACTAGCTAATGGAAAAAGAACACGAACACTGTTGAAAGATACAGTATGCTACAACTTACCAAAATGTATTCCTCATGCATAATGTCGACCAATCATTTTTTGAACTCTTCCCTGAACTGAAATGTAGTAGTGGGCTGTATTTCCACACGACTGACATTAGGTTCAAGTACACACACAAGCCGCGCGAGTTACTCGTCTATTGCAGTTTGGCTGGTGGTAATGTTGCCCGCCCGCACACCGCCTCCCATGGCCGAAACGACACCTGCCGGGCCGGGGCTAGTAATTTAGCATGCTAATTTAGGTTTATATCTCGGCAGCACTATAACTTATCAGTTTTTTAATTACATCATTGCACTTATTTCTTCTCATTCTTTTGATGCGTGTAGCTCATTTTTTGGATATTTTTACCTCAATTATTACATATGGCACCTTTAAAGGAATAGTTCACCCAAAAATGAAAATGCTCCCATAATATACTCTCCCTCAAGCCATCCTTGGTATATGACTTAATTCTTTCAGACAAACACAATCGGAGTTATATTAATTAATAGCCTGGCTCTTCCCAGCTTTGTTATGGCACTGAATAGTGCACAAGTTTAAGCTCCAAAAAGCGCACCCATTCATGATTTAAGTAATCCATACGACTCAAGTTAACTGTACATTAACTTCATTAACTGTAATCACTGGCTAGATGTGCTTTTTGGAGCTTCAAAAACTTTGGCAATATTCAGTGACATTACAAAGCTGGGATGAGCCAGGATATTTTTTAATATAACTCTGATTGCGTTTGGCTGAAAGAAGAAAGTCATATACACCTAGGACGGCTTTATTATGGGATAATTTTCGTTTTGGGGTGAACTATTCCTTTAACCCTCATGTGGTGTTCGGGTCAATTTTATTTCCTGAAAATACTAGTTAATGTTATCGCTCATAAATCACTCATTATACCATATTTTCACCCAATCTTGGATTCAATCTTTTTGTCAATCTTTGAGTAAATTTGGAAATACGAATTTTTTTTGTTGAAAAAAATGGCTACTGTTCATCACACTAGTCTACTCTAATGTTTCACCAGGAGTTTTGTTTTGAAACTTTTGTTTTGTAAAAAATATGGCAAATAGTCACACTTGTGGTGTTCCCGGTCAAAAATGACCGGCCTATAAAAAATAGCTTATAAATCACTCATTATACCAATCTTGGATTCAATCTTTTTGTCACCTTGTTTTCTTTCAATTAGGACTTGTTTTATATTTCTGTTTGCATCTGATTAATCGTGGCCCTCATTTATCTGAGAGTAGCCATCTCATTTTTTGAGTAAAAAATAAATAATTTATGAGTAAATTTGGAAATATGAAAAAAAAATTGAAAAAAAATGTCTGTGCACAATGTGTTACAACAGTGTTACATTGTGTGAGAGATTATTTATAGGCTATATGTTAGTGTGAAATTGAACACCATTCCAATGTTATTTTCAATAATAATTTTTCCACTTTTCCATATTGATAACCGCAACCTAAAAAAAAAAAAAAAGTCAGTAAAAAAAAAAATCTGTAAAAAAAAAAAAAAAAAAATCTAGAAATGTTTCGAGATTAAAGTCGAAATGTTTCGAGATTAAAGTCGAAATGTTTCGAGATTAAAGTCGAAATGTTTCGAGATTAAAGTCGGAATGTTTCGAGATTAAAGTCGGAATGTTTCGAGATTAAAGTCGGAATGTTTCGAGATTAAAGTCGAAATGTTTCGAGATTAAAGTCGAAATGTTTCGAGATTAAAGTCGAAACATTGTGCATTCATAACAGTGCGCGTCCACTGGCTCAGAGCGCGCGCGTGTGCGTGTGAAGTCGAACTGCCATGGATAAACACAAAATAGTAGCTTTTTACTTTTATCTGAATTACTTGTCTTACTTTATCGTTATAAAATATAATGCGCCGGAATAGACTTTAGCCTATAGGAAAACCAACACGGAAAACACTTTTCAGAATGGATGGAGAAATCCAGCTTTATGAATGAATGAATGAATGAATGAATAGGGCATTTATATAGCGCTTTCATATATGCCTACACTCAAAGTGCTTTACAATTAGAATCTCTCCTCAACTATAAGTGGTTATTAAATCTTAGGAAATCACAGGATCCGGCCAAATGATTGGATACAGAATGATGCACTTAAAATGTATCCAGAGCGTATTTACGTTGAAGAGGGAGACCGAACAGTTACTGTTGTGTTCTCGACCCAGATAGTGTTGACTAGACGAGCACGAAAACACCTCAGAAACACTGCCACTAGCACGTGTGACGTGTGTAGAATTTTGTTGAAAGCCCAGATAAAAGTAAAAAGCTACTATTTTGGGTTTATCCATGGCAGTTCGACTTCACACACGCGCGCGCTCTGAGCCAGTGGACGCGCACTGTTATGAATGCACAATGTTTCGACTTTAATCTCGAAACATTTCGACTTTAATCTCGAAACATTTCGACTTTAATCTCGAAACATTTCGACTTTAATCTCGAAACATTCCGACTTTAATCTCGAAACATTCCGACTTTAATCTCGAAACATTCCGACTTTAATCTCGAAACATTCCGACTTTAATCTCGAAATGCTAGATTTTTTTTTTTTTTTTTTTTACAGATTTTTTTTTTTTTTTTTTTTTTTTTTTTTGTTGCGGTTCAGGGCTTCCGTAGTAAAGAGCATTAAAATGAGAAAAAAATAATGTAACAAAAAGAAATCAAGAGACATTTAGAATAGATAAAAATGTGCGATTAATGGCGAGTTAACTATGACATTAATGCGATTAATTGTAACATTTTAATCGTAAAATAAACATTTTTAATCGTTTGACAGCACATATATTTAGGACCATGACAGATTAGAAAAGATCAAATTCAGATTTGAGCTGTTTATACTGTTATTAAACTAAAACTGATCTGATGATTTGGGCTACTTTTCCCTGCAGTCTAAAAGTAGCCTTTATGCACATGCTTCAGTGTCTTTGCATTTTATAACAAAATACCACACATTTGGCACGTTTTACTTTGCAAAGTATACAGAGTATAAAGTATACTTTTCAGAACTGTGGAAATGGTAAACTCTTCTCCTAGTTTGTTCCACTCAGATTAAACCCACCTGACCAGCTAAGCAAGATGTTTAATTTTGTTTGAAAATACGAGGCATGTTGGAAAATAACTCTTCCAGACAGTGGCCACATAGAAGCAAAGTGTTGCAGAGATTTAGTAAACATGCAAAGTTAAAAAAAAACATGATAGTTTTTCCCACAACTTCCCAAAAGAGGAAAAAATATAGAGATTGATTGCAGCTGTCACGTTCAGCCGTTGCATTAGAAACACTCAGCTAATAATTCTTTATTATTATTATTATTAATTTTACTCCAAATGTACTGCCTAGTTAATACAAAACAATTAAAAATTTAAATATGAAAATAAGTTTGCAATGTTAATAATTGTGGAAATGCATAATCGAGGTCCATATTTTAAATTTGGTCTGCTGTACATATTTTAACCTCTAATTGTCAATATTACACACTAATATTAAACAATGTAAATTATATCCAATATTAGAGTCCAGTGTTTAGTCTTATTACCTTCCTGTTCTCTGTCTCCCATCAGCACCCTACTCATCCACTGGCAGTGTACAATGTATCAGGCGAATTTGCCATGTTGTGGCATGGAGCTGAAGCTGGAGCTTTTGAGCTGCGCACTGCAGTTATGGAGGCTATGACTGCCTTCCGTCGAGCAGGTGAGAAGGGGGACACGGTAGATAAAGTAAATTATTTAAATCTGTTGAGGCAGGCGTCTCCAAAATTGTATAAAATGAATGATTTGGGCAGGACCTTGGTGGTGTCTACTTAATTTTTCACTGTATTCTCTTTTTTTTTTTTTCAGGAGCTGACATAATTATCACCTACTACGCTCCTCAATTGCTCACATGGTTAACGGAGTAATCTGTTGATTCTCCTGTGTGAATAAACCTGGATCAAAGCAAACTCTTTATTTTTAAACTTTCTCTTTCTGAGAGTGACACTAAGGGGGACAAAATCTGACAAGCAAATATTAGTACACAAATCAGTCTTTTCAGAAGATTTTTTAATATGATTTATGTATTTAGTTAGAAACGCATGTAAGCAAACTGTGATTTTTCTAGTTCTCAAATTTGGGTGTTTGGTGTATTACTTGAAAAGTGTTTTCATTAAGATATGTTTTACTGACTACAGTGTAAAACTGTCATAAGACTCAAGTCATGGAAGGCACTGTGTCTCAATTCAGCAGCTCTGAGTAAAACTCCCAGCCACTTTGGCAAATTATGTGTTTTAATATGAATATCCGTATGTCAAGGCTAACGATGCAAATAACACTGTAAACCATGCATTAAATAGAGTTTTTACCAGGCAATGGTTCACTACTATTAGAAATAGAGCAAAGAAAAGAGATCAATAATTGGGGGAAACAAGAAGGGGGTGAATT